GGATTAACGGCTCTACACAGTCTTGAAAGCTTGTCAGGAGCGGTGAACAACACGTCCACATCACGCCTGCTCTGCAATAAGTTTGAGGTTATAAGCCACGCCGTGCATATACGGAATGACGGCGAAATTTCTTCTTCCCCGTCCTTTTCCACTGCTGGAAGCGATATCGCTGGTCACAGGCCAAGCTTTTGTTTCTTTGAGCAGTGCCCCAGCAACAGCTGTCAAAACGTGTGAGGGGAGCCCAGCGACAGTGAGGCGTTCAGTTTGCTTATCGAAGCTAGGTTGAACTCCTTGAGAAGTATCTGAGGTCAACCTTTGCAACTTGGGAGGGCAGTCTCTACTTGCAAACGTCAAGGAGTGTGTATTGGATCTTGCATCGCCCCTGTTCTTAGCGACTTGTTCTTATCAAGCCTCGAGCGCATCATTCTAGAACACCTAGAGGGTACCAATGTTGCATGGGTTTTCCGCTATGTAGACCACCTTCAGTCCTGTTGGAAACTGACGCCTTGTCCTTTCATACATCGATGACTCATATTTTAGGCATCTTTTTCTAACCTGTCTTTCGCCACTTCTCTTAACTCATGAAGTACCTGAAGCGGGATGTATAAGATTTTTGGATTTAACTTTACCAGCGTTTCCGGACCATGTACGCTGGGCTTATGAACGTCGGGCCGGCAAGCCTCTTCTGACCTTTGAGACCACGCATTAAAAAATGTAAAACGTGCAATCGCGAGGACTTGCTAAACACATGCTTGCGAAGGTCTTGATTTCAAAAAGTTCAACCTAACTCCGATAAGCAAACTGAACGCCTCACTGTCGCTGGGTTCCCCTCACACGTGCTGTCCGCTGTCACTGAGTTACTGCTCAATGAAACAAAATCTTGGCCTGTGACGAGCGATATCCCTTCCAGCAGTGGAAAAGGAAAGGAAACAAGAAAATTTGCCGAAATTCCGTAAATTCATGGCGTGGCCCATAACCTCAAACGTATTGCAGGCATATGTAATCTGGAGGTGTTGTTCAGCGCTCCTGACAAGCTTTCAAGATTGTGTAGAGCCGTTAATACCTCTGATAGGGGGGCGAGGGCCTGAACTACCAAGCATCGCAATCGTTACGTCACTTGCGCTGAGGGAGGTCCGTAATCCCTTCCTCTGTCTTGCGGCAGGCGTTGTTGGCCAGACAGGTCCCTGTCTCAATGACAGGCTAAGGGAACATGCTTACAACGTCCCTTCAACGATTTCTGGTCACCCTGGCTTACATTGACGCGACTGCAGATGCCAACCTCAGTTTCAACTGTGTGAGGTTGTTAAACGTCACCGGGACCAGCTGACACATGAATTCGGGAGGCTTCAAATAGAAAGATTTGTTGTTATGGTGTGTCAGCAGTCCTTCTGTTGCTTTATCAAGAAAAAAGATTAATTTTCTTTCCTCTTCATCTTGATTTTAGCGCGTGCCCTCTGTGTGTGTTTTTAGAGGCTATACTTGGTGTTTTGTGCTTTTTGTTATTTGTTTTTCAGCTGATTTTCTTCCTTTTTTGTTTTCAACTGTGCGTGTATATATTGCACCGTTGCGTCCAATAAAATTTACTTGCGAGTCACCGCTTTGTCTGTGTCCTCCTTGATGTAGTCCGTGTTTTTTTTGTTTTTTTTTTGCGCTGTTTTAATTTTTTTGAGTAAAGGAAACAAAGACGAAATTGTGGGAAGAGAGAATGCAGGGGAAATCAGCTTTAACAATATACAGGGCACAAAAACAAGAAATAAAGAAGGAACAGTTGTATGATAATTCATTGGGGAGCTCATTACTGTTTGAAGCTAGAACGGGGTTGCTAAGGACGAAAACATATAGGGCTAAATTCCAGAAAAGTGACACTCTTTGCAACATATGCAACCACGAAAGGGAAACTACAGAACACGTAATTTTAAGGTGCACTAGGCTTAGTTCCACCCTCTTGGGGGGGGGGGGGGGGGGTGACTGCAGATTTGGAGGGGGCACAGGGATTTAGAGACATGGATGGACGAATAGATAGGGAAAGTATTGCGGAAACTAAGAGGAGATTGGAAGATTGGTGAAAAAAAATCTATAGAAGGGTAAAAAAATACAGATAAAAATGATCAATGGAATCACTAAAAAGGGAGGTAAGGTGTTCTGTTAGAACAAAATTTACACAAATAAAAAAAAAAGAGATGACGAAATATTAGGCTAGGTGGCGCAAGCTGCCGCCCGTTATAAAGGGTATAGCCATCACCATCCATCCATCCATTTATCTAGCACCGTAGACGGCGATATTCTATATTGGCGTATAAGGAGGGAAAGTTAGGGCAGGACGGATGGGAGCAGCGTGGAAATTGTTAGATCCTGGCGGAAGTTAGAAGGGTATTTGATTGGATCGTTTTAAGTACATGAGTTTGCGTCACATTGAGTTTAGGATGGGGCCGAGGTAAGTGTTGCTGATTTACAGAGCTTTGATTTGAGATTTGATTGGGCGTTTGCTGAGTACAGGTTCATCGCTGGTTTGGAGGGGGGGGGGGTCTAAGCCAAGAAATCACAGGCGCCCGAATATGCAATTTGCGGGCGAGTTTGTAGACCAGCTCATTACCTGCAAGAAATGCATGACCTGGGACCCCAAAAATAGTGACCGAGGATGAATGAACTGTGCGTAGAGCCGCCTTGAGGTCTGCTCAAAGATCTGGGAAGCTTTTCGAGCTGCTGCAAGGCGCGAATGCCAGCATATTAGATATAAATCGTATAATCTAATGTGGGAGCTTGTTGGACAATATCTTGGATAGCATGTATGATAACAACTATTTCTATTGTGATGACATTTGGGGGACTTACATTTGGGCCGCTGGTGTAAACTTGGGGTATTAGGAATTCTGGTGTGTAGATTGCGCATGCCGCAATTCTCTTGGCCCCTGTCTTGGAGATAGATGAGATGGATGGCAACCTTGCGCCCTTATGGAATCATTCTCTGTGTCCAGAGGCGTTCGGTGAGGTACAGGGGCAATGTGCAGGATTGAGGGTAGGGTATGGGAAGGTATAAGTAAGGGAAGACCAATGGGAAATGTCCTGCCTGCTCCTGGTGGAGGTTCCCGACAGGCGGGCTGTTTGTCGATACCGATGTAGGCGAAGAAGAAATGTGGCGGTACAATTAATCCGTGCCGTAGAGTTTCTGGTTGGAGGTGGAAATAGAGAGATTCAGGGAGGCATGTATACGTACGCACAGGCAGTGGACCCAGAAAAAATCTCGCGGGCGGCGGCCGATCTTTTTCAAGGATAAGGCAACATCGACGACGGACACCCCTACGCCCTAATATGCCAACTACATCAAATACAAGGGACGTCATTACCAGTAGTGAGAAGAGCTCATGATAGTTATGGCTGTAATATTCAGTATGTTTGCGAGCACATTAGAATTGTCTTTTTAGCATGCGTAAAACAGTGAACGATTTTATTATAGTGCAGCTACCATATACACTAATGTCTCGTTATAATGGACCTTGTTAATATAGATACCCCGCTATATGAAAACAATTTTCGGGGACAACCCCGAAAAATACATACATTGTGACTCGTTATACACGAACTCCTCTCTGTTACGTCACGGCGCGGCGGTGGCGCGTCGGGCGCACTTCCGGTCTGGCGCTTTGGGCGGAAGCCGCCATGGGGCACGTGCATTCCTGTCTTACTTCGGAAGAAACCGAAACAAAACCTGCCTTGTCGTCAAAACGCCGCGACTGGGGCTTTACTTTAAGAGTCGGAAAAGGTTTGAAGGTCAGTTTTCATACGTTTTCTGCCTGCTGGGTTTGTCCGAGAACGTGAAGAGGGGCTTTTAAAAAGAAAAAAAACAGACGCCATGGGACCACGATTGCTTGGGCGGAAAGCACTTTGAATTGAATTCACGGATACTTGTGGTCGTCTAATTTATATTTTTTTGATCCAACATGAGCGCGGGAAAACAGTCAAGTTGTACGGACCACCTGCGGACTACGTTCAGTGTGCCATCAAGTTCAAACGGCCGCCTCGTCGTTCCAGCTGTTGTCTGCTGGCTCAAACGTTTCTGCTTGTCGTCTGCTCGTTCAAACGACAGCGGGCAGTAGACCAAACGTTGACCCGGTAATTGCGATAAGAAGTGCAGACCTCAAAAGTCGTTTAAGTTTGAAGGTTGCTTCGGGTAAGTAGGCTCGGTATAAACAGTAGGTATAAGGAGATGTTGATAATTGTTACCAGTGGCCATCACCGACTTGTTATGCCTGATTCACTCGGTCGGACTCTGCTTACTATTTTCAGTATCGACGTCGACATCTCAGCTACGGTTCAGGCTTTTGCAGCCCGAGCGACGTCAATACTTAAACTAGCTAGCAGAACCTCACCATGTGAATCAAGCTTTAACGTCATTTATGCGGCGTCCACACGGAATGATTCGCCGCATGTTGCATTTTTCACGCCAAGTTCTGCGGTGTAACGAGCATCGTTAATTTCGCTGTAGTCAGACATTGCCAGGAAGACGTAGAATCAACAATTCGAACACAAAAAAGGGCAGAGGGACTCACACCGACGCCGACAACGTCCCATTCCAATGGTTTGTTTATGGGCGACGGCGAGATTCTTGCCCACACCCCAATCGCGCAACCGCGGCGTCGGGGGCGTCCTCTAGGGGCGCTAAGGTTTGTTTGTAAACATGAGTTGGCGTATAAAGACAGCTCACAATATGGATGATTTTTTGGGAACGGAGGTGTCCATATTAACGGGACATCACTGTACTTTTGCTAAATAGTTGTGTGTGCAAGCGAAAATAAAGGCGGGCCGGGACTTTTGTACTTAATCAACATCACTACGAAAATAAAATCCGATATAGATAATGCAGTTGATTAGAATTGCTACATTTTTTGTTAAGAACCAAATCTGTGCTATTAGGTCCGTAGCGAAACATGATGAAGGCACATCATCTTATTTTTTTTACAAAAAAAAAAAAAAAAGAAACATTACACGGGCAGTTTTCTTACTCATGCATCTTCCCAAGTTGGCGTCGTAGTATTGGTTACCAGGGCAGCCTAGGACCCTTCTTGGTGTCCGTTTCTCTGTAAAAAATATAAAATAATGGGAGATAACGCTAATATCAACCATGATCATAGTATTTAACAGCGTAAAAGTTTTAGAAATGTACGCTTTACCGTAAAACAAATTACAAAAACAGCAGGAAAAGTGCATGTTAAAAGTGTGTACTTATAATATTAAAAAAAAGATTCCGTTTTTTTTTCTGTAGAACCAAATACAATAATGTTGGAAAATGTGAATGCCGCTAGCGGCGTAATTATTGTAATCAGCAAAATAAAAATCTAGCTCTCTTTAATGAACGAAAAAAAAGCTTAGTAATGCCCTTATCGAATGACATTGGCTTGCAGTTCCTTTGTTATTTTATAATAACTCATCTGATTAGGGAAATAGTAGCGATCTGATCACAGAGGGCAATTATAATTTAGCAATTCAATAATATGTAGCCGTGTTCAGTTGTGCTACCTGGTCCAGAACGTTGTTTAGGGTGACAGCTTGAACGTATTCACGAATACACGCAAGATTGTGCCCAGAGGTATTTAGAGCCACTTTTCTCTCGTGTGTATATGTTCGAGCTGGCCCCAAGAAGAATTAAATAAAGCGTCCGATGACTCACAGATTAAAGAGAAAAATTCAAAAAAGAAAAGAGTATTCGCACATACAAAAAGGCTTGCAAAGGTTGTATAATGAATAGACTGCTATTGGAAACATTTCTAGCGTTGACTGTGGCAATCAAGGGACCACTTTAGCAAGCACGAATTACGGTAGAATATTGTAAAATATTATGAAGAGGCACGCTCACTCTATCTATATATTTTTTTTCTTTTGTGATTACATTCTTTCAGGATACGTTGTTGTGCTAGTTGGTTCAGAAGAGTGAAGCATCCAATATAGCGCAAAATGAGAAAAGGACGAGAAGTAAACGTGACAAGGGCTTGTACTGTTTACATCTTGTCCCTGTCTTTTTTCAGCTATTTTGTTTAACATTCCTTTACGCCCAACTAAAATAGACACATACTACACTTGTTACAGAATATTGTTCAACTTGAGCACTTCTGTGGTCCGACTGATGTTGTAAGTCCAAATATCTGCGAGACAAGTTTGTATTTTTAACGTCTGCAAACATATTAAGGGTTATAATGAGTCTGCATTCCCCTTAATTTGTCAAAGCGAAACATTGATGGTGGGCATTTGCTTCATCGAAACACGTCTTTCTGTTGAATCAATACATATTGCAGGTAGCGTGTTGTTAATGCGAAATTGTTTCGTTATAATCATCCATTCCTATATAACTCTAGAGAACGGAAGAATTTCTCAAAATGTTGTACATGAAGAATGTCATACGTTGACAATATAATTAAAGAGTATCTAATATTTTTAATGTTCCGGGTATGGATGACGCATATCTATAATATTCATCATAATATTTTTTTAATTCCACAACCGCGGGCTATAAATTCTGTTCTGTTTACCAAATTCAGTCACGTGACGGAAAAAAAATCCAGGGCTGTGCAGGAAAGTCGGATCTACGGCAATCCGCGGAGGATGAACGCGCAACTTTGCTACAGTAGGTATGTACAGGAACTCTAATCGAGACTGCTCGCGACGACCCTGGTCTATTAAATCAACGTAATATTTTTTCACTCTACTTTTGGTTTAAAAATGAACGCGAGCAATAAAAAGAAAAGTTCATGTAAAAAACAAAAACAAAACGGGGTTGCATATCGACGGCGTTTTTGCTGCTGGCGGATTTGGTCTGCTTGTGGTCTGTATTCTTTCGCTAGTCGGATAAACCTTCGGAAGCTGCTCCCGACTCCATCTATCAATACGCGCAAGTTTTTTTTTGCCATTTTTTTACAGAACGGAAGCTTCGCTTTGTAATTCTACATAAAAGCGACCTGTGAAAATACACCCTGAACGAAAAGTTTAGATCGCTACGCGTAGGCGCCAATTTAAACGGCCTATATTAGATCAAGCCTGGTTATTTCATACACCCTATATATACGTATACTATAAAATAAGCACAGGTCACAGACATCAGGTCGTGTGACGACAAATTTCCCGTTAAGCTCAGGCCACGTGACGTCAGGTTACGAATATCAATTCCCACTCCAAATTTAGCGGGGAAATAAATTGATGTATAGGTCTTTTGATGTTATGCCAGGTGACGTCATTTTCCCGCTGATTCTAGAGAAGAAACAGAATTGATATATAGGTTTCGTAAGGTTAGGTCACGCGACATCAATGTTCGAATTAAATTTACAGGAAATACCGAATTGCTGTTTAGGCCGTGTGCCATCAATTTCCAAACTAAATGTAATAGGCTATGTACAAACGAAGGGAACGAAAGAGGAAAAAAGTAGGAATTACGGGGGTTCTGCTAAAAAATGAAAAAGTTTGCAAACCTCTGTAACGCGATATTAGAGCGCAGCTCCTGAGGACAAGGGGCTATGCCCCTCCTCCTCCTCCGTACCTTCCCCTCCTCTCCTCTTCCTCTGCAACTCGTCCTCCCCTCTTCTTATCTTTCTCCCCTACTTTCCTCTTTCTCCTTCCCTCCTCCTCTGCTCCTCGTTCCAGTCTCCCTCTCTCCCCTTCTACTCCTCCTCTCTCCTCCTCCTCCTCCGTACCGTACCTTCCGCTCCTCTTCCGCACGTGACGTCAATTTTCTCGCCAAATCTAGTGGAGTTACTGAATTCGTTCATATGTGGCGTGACGCCAAGTCATCTGAAGTCATTTTTTTTCGCTAAATTTAGCGGAAAATTGAATTGTTGTTGAGGTTACGTGACGTAAATCTTCCCGCTAGCGCGGTTAGGTCAAAACCGACCGCGACGCCAACCGCGACGCCGACCGCGACGCCGACTGGAACGCCGCGAAACCCGGAAACGCACGTCTAGGATATGCGCACTAAAGGCATATCGTGTTAGAAAAAACAGCGAAATTTGTGAGCTGAGGAGCCGCCAGAATAAGGCTTGTCGTTTGTACGACCGCTTAAATCTTAGGTAACGGGACGCTGTCAGATAGGCTTGTCATTACGCGGTATCCGCGCCCACTCCGGAAGCTGACGTGCTAACGTTGACTCCGAATGAAACGTATGTCGCTCTTTTGGATGTTAGTTTCGATGTATGTCTCCTCATGGCTTAAATTTGCCACAGAGTAGAGCTGGTCCGAATTTAGTTGTCTGAATTCCAGGAACAACTGTAGCCTATTGCGGAGATGGTCAACGGATCTCCAATACATATATTTCAGCCAAGGCGGTTAGATTGAAAAGTTGATGATTAGATTTTGGGCAAACTCTTCACTAAGATATTATATTAAAATTAAAACCAGACGTGCACCACGGTAAATTACAGTTTTCAAAAGGAATAACCTGTTTTTTGATGACTCAACTTAGGGGTTTCCACTCTTTTTGGCTAAACGGCCTGGTTAGGTTAAAAATGGGAGGGCATGAAAATTTCGGTTTAGTTGTACAGTGAAACATACTAATGAGACTGATACAACTAATAATGCCACAATGTACATAAGAACGCAACAAAATTTTAACATATTTACACACACATGAAGCTGGGAATTAAGACTGGTATAACTGGTGATGCCAATATTCAGTTATGGCGAGAGAAGCCCGCTGCGCTACAGTGTATTTCGTTCTTTCTGGTATCGCCTGTTGAGTATTAAAGGGCGTCGCGGTGCCGCTTTTATAGGCGAACATATTTTTGCGCCGGCAGTAGCGGGTCTGAATACTTCTGGCCGAATATGGGCCGCGGACCAGGGTTTCGAGACCCCTGACTTAATTTAAAACTGTGTACTCTTTAGTCAAATATACAAGTTTGTACTAAGAATGAGACAGCATAGGCCGTTTGTAGTTGAATCACGATGTATTAGAACTACTTTTATTTTCACTGTATTATTAATGCAATTCCCATGAATCGAGGTACCAAAAGTCACATTCCGCCGCACAAAACTTGAAACCTTTCGTGTCCTCATTGTGTGTCGTGATTGCTGTAAAAATTACGTCAGCACTAAATATTTACAGAATTGACTCACTAGCAATGCAATGAAACACACTCCATATAGAAAAATATTCATTTTCTTTCTAAGTTGCACCATCACATATTGACTAATATTGCTACAAGTATTACTCAACAGTTCCAAATAATTTCGATATTATCAAATTTAACTAGCAGTTTGTGCGTGTGTCCTTTGTTGACAATATTGGGAACTAACCTACTGCAGTGAAATATGTACGGAACGTTTCTCAGATGGTTAGGATTGAAAATATTACGAACTCTTTCTTGGCCTCGCCATTCTGTCATCCCAGCAGGCAATTATGGCCCCCATTTTCGATAACCATACATAATTCTGAAAGATATTGTTTAACGTGATTTAACAAATAGTTTGAAAGAGTACGAACGCGATACCAAAAGACGATAAGAAGCCGTGATCACAATAACTCTCCCTCATACACTCCTTGGCGATTCTGTTACTTGCTACTTTTATTGGTAGTTTTTAACTGAAACTAGATACATTATTTAAGTAAGTGTAACGATAACTTCAATACCCTTTTTGAAAAGTAACTAAAAAGTATCGCAAAGATACAAAATATGTTTAAAAAAAAGACTTTTTTGAACACTACAGCGAGTTTGACCGCGTGCGGAGTTTGGGCTCCACATTCGACGCTACAAAATACAAGAACTAAAAAAAAAAAAATTGTCGGAGAAAGGTGCCCAGCAGAGGGCAGACGTGTTTCTAGTTCTGTTTTCATTTTTCATTGCGCAGAGGAGCACATCTAGCATTTGCTTTATTTCAACATTTTTGTGCGTGGCTCTCTCGCCCCGTCTTCACCCTCTCGGACCACATCGAACGCCCCCGCCTCTTTAGCCAAGCGACAGAGCCACCTCGTAGAAATGCGCGACGCGTTCACAGGCCCAACCACATGGGACGTTTCTTTTACGTGCCTAGCCTGTGCCGAGGTCGGCGCGCGTCGCTCAAGATCACCCACAACAATGCGACACGCCTGTCGACGCCGAAA